GTGACGCAGAACCATTGGCTCCCTTTGCTGTAGGTGGCAGCTGGGTTTGGGAGACAGCAGGCATGGGACAAGGGAGCTGCGCCTGTGTGCCATAGCCTCGGTTCTCCTCCCGCCTTTTCATTAGTCGATGGGTAACAAAAAAACTCATTGACCAACTGCCAAAGAAGTTAGCATGATGGCCACTAATCAGCAACCAGCAATGGGGATCTTGTATTGAGTCACTGGTTAGGAGGTTGGCTTTTCTAAAAATGCAAAATTGAAACTAGATCAGCTCCTCAGTAGGTACGATAAGTTATTCCTGCCTTTTCATGCTCTGTCACATCTGTCCCCACTACTGGGTCTTTCTGCCTTGTGTAGGCAGAGCTGTCTTCTAATTTATTTGTGTACAGAGACCGAAGACTTCAAGTGCTTTAAGTTAATAATGTCATTAATTTGAATGGAAAGACTGAGAAATTAGAATAAAACTATAAGAGTTTGATGGGCAGCTATGAAGGAACTTTATGGGGGTGCTTATGAGTATAGATGTGTCACTGGAGACCAAGGCCAAGATCATGCACACACTCCTGTATTCCTGATTATTATGTACAAATATGAAAACTGGGCAGTGAAGAAAGCTTCAGGAAAAAAAATTATATTTATTTATTTGATTTGATTTGTATCCCACCCATCTGGTCTATACAACCACTCTAGGCAGCTAATCAGCAACCAGCAATGGGGATAATTTCATTTTAAATGCATATATTGCAAGAGAACTTTATGGATACCATGGATTGCCAGAAAGAGAAGTAAGTGGTTACTAGATCAAACTGAGCCTGGATCCTCCCTAGAATCCAAAATGACTACACTGAGGCCATCATCCTTTGGGTGCGCCATGAGAAGACTGCAAAAGAAGATGCTGGGAAAAGCTGGAGGCAGTAGGAAAAGAGGAAGCTCCAACATGAAATAGATTGAACCAATAAAAGGACCACAACTTTGAGTCGCAAGATGTGATCATGGATGCTAACAACAGGATCTTCTGGGAGTCACTACTTCATAGCATCGCCATAGGTTGGAAGTGACTTGATGACATGTAACAACTAAATGGGGATAATAGCAGTGGTGGGATTCAGCAGGCTAACAACCGGTTCTGCAGAACAAATAATACATTAGCTACTGGTTCTGTAGAACTGGTGCGAACCTGCTGAATCCCACCACTGGATAATAGTAAATAAAAACACTAGTAGAAAACAGAGATCTTTATAAAAAGATAGGACCAATGACTAGAGTGCTTAAGGGGAAACATGGATTTGGGGAAGGGTTATCTGCTGAAAGGCACCCCTTTCTTTCAGATGTCTTTAAGAGAGTTCCCAGAGTTTTGTCCTTATGAGAAAAAAAATCAAATGAAGGGAGTAATATGCAGCAAGCAAGTTTCAGAAAATGTTTGTCGGTATGGTTGCTGTGGAAGACTTTGTCTAGGAATAGGCAAATCTCTCGATGGCACCCATAATTCTTCAACACCATTCTCTTTTAATGTGAGCTTTTGTGGACAAGTCCCATTATGGCACCCACAATCCTGTTGGGTTCCTGTATCAGTTCATGAGACCAGTCTCTGACTGTTCTGCTGAAAACAACAGAAGCAACCTTTGCCTTGTGCAACGGCAGACACAATGAACAACAGACCGGTCATGATTTGTTTCCCAGTTTCTCAAAATAGATCCTTCCAAATAGTAGCTGAAAAAAAAAAGCATCATCAATACCAAAACACACATTTAAGTTGCACAAGCTCTGTTTCAATCTTTGTCAAACCAGCCCTTCAGATGCTTTTGACTACAATTCCTATCACTACAAGCAGCATTGGTGCACTATTTTGGGGATAATAGGAACTGCCATTCAAATCTCTTGGTGCCTGCCTGGTGGGGAAGTTTGTTGTATATTTTTCAGTGGCCAAAAATGGCACTGGAGCTTCCAGAGATGTGCAGAATCTGGGGGTGGAGGCACTAAATTCCAGTCTGCCTATTCATCTCAGAGGACTAGTTATTTTTCTGCAGGAATTTGAAAAGATTTTTTTTAAAAAAAATCTTGAGTATATATGTTCAGGGAGTTTATGCCCTGCTTTCTTGTCTCTTAAGGGAACTGCCCAAGGTGACCCAAAACATAACAGCTGGAATCCTGTTGCAGGTTTATTTTGTCATAAGTGAAATTGCACAAACAGCAGCAGCAACCTGTCCCTCCTCTTCCTCACAGCATGCCGATGGCATGACATGGTGCATAATCAGGAATGTGAGTGGTAACTTGTTCATGCAGTGATTCACCACTGCAATTTATGCAATTACTTTTAACACCACTATAAAGCTCTAGTAGGATTCCTAGTACATCAGAAACAAACAAACAAAAAAGCTAACTTAATTTAGGACTATTTTATAACAGAAGGGGAAGTCTTAAGTTTTTTTTTTCCCTTGCTGTAGTGACAACTTTACCATCTGGTTCTCAGAACAAATATTCCCCCCCCCCAAGAGAACAAGCAGCGCAATATTAATGAACAGCTCAGGTCTAGCCCAGCCATTAGGCAAAGTGTGGCAACTCCCGCAAGTGCACAGTTTGGGAGGGTGGGTGGTGGCGGTTGTTTCAATTTATATACCACCCTCTAAAGCACTCTCTGAGTGGTCTACAACATAACTATGTCAGGAAATTTTGGACTCCCCACCAACAACCTGGGTACTCATTTCACCAGCTTTGAAAGGCTGGACGGCTTGAGACAGCAAAGCACTCTCTGAGTGGTTTACAACATAACTATGTCAGGAAATTTTGGGGGCCCCACCAACAACCTGGGTACTCATTTTGCCAACTTTGAAAGGCTGGACGGCTTGAGACAATTACCTGAATCCCATCAGGATCAAACTCGGGTCATGAGCAGAAGCTTGTCTGCAGTACTGCAGTTTAACCACTGTGCCATGAACTCAATGGCAGCCCTCCACTTGTTCCTCCTAAAATCTCTGGCCTTTCTTGTCTGTTTGAGAAGTGGACTATAGAAGGCCACTGTGGGGTGGGCAAAGTGCAGATGTCCAGATGTTGTTGGACTTCCAGCATTCCTCACCATTGGGTTTGGTAGCTGATGGGAACTGTAGTCTCTCATCATCATTAGAAATGCCCTATGCCAAACCCTGCCCTAAACTCTTGTTATTCTTGGAGGTGGAGGACCTTTTCTCATCACCAGATGCAATGGCCAGTCCCTTTGACTTCTGTATGTGAAATGGAGTGGCAGCACAATATCTTGAGTCAGCTCCAAAAAACCCCCCACACAGTTTATAGATTACTACGAGGGGGTGCTGATAAGTATTGAGCCTTTCCCAGAAAAAAATTGAGCTAGGAAGCTATAAATTGCAGGGTGTATTGGCCAATCTGTCTGTATTCAATGGTGCAAAAATCAATCTGTAGATCACTTGTAGCCCCTCTGCTTGTTTCTGCCAGAGTTCCAGCCCAGTGCCTCTGAGAAGCTTATAAACATCCTCCTTTTAGTTGTTCACAACTAGTACGCAGAAAGCGTCATATACCTTCACTGAGGGTGATTTCTCCACAGCCTGTCACGAAGAGTCGGGCACGACTAAACAAATGAACGAACGAGGGCTACCACAGTGATCCCCTGATAGACATAAAGGTTGCTTTAAGGAAGATGACTCCCTTCAAAGTGCTCCACTACTAAGCTCTCTCTAGGGCTACCACAGTGATCCCCTCATAGACATAAAGGTTGCTTTCAGGAAGATGACTCCCTTCAAAGCGACAAATTCCCACCCTCTGATTCCACCCAAAGATCCTTTAAAAAAAAGGATAATGAATTAACACTTTGTTGCCTAGGCGAAACAAGTAACAATTAATTACTTCCGAAAGCCTCTTTTTAAAAGCATTTTAAAGCGTTTTGACAGGAATGTTTAAGTTTTATGCCCATATCTTATCAATTCTAAAGTCAACAATGGTGGATTACAGTACTCCTGCTGGGATGTAATTAAGGCCTGTATCACCATGACCAGATCAGACCTTTCCAAGAATGAGCATGGCTGCCACACTATTTTTTTTATTTTGTAGAAGCACTCCTGGCTACTATTGAAAGTGAGAGTTTTGACAGGAATGTTTAAGTTTTATGCCCATATCTTATCAATTCTAAAGTCAACAATGGTGGATTACAGTACTCCTGCTGGGATGTAATTAAGGCCTGTATCACCATGACCAGATCAGACCTTTCCAAGAATGAGCATGGCTGCCACACTATTTTTTTTATTTTGTAGAAGCACTCCTGGCCACTATTGAAAGTGGGACATCCAGACTCAGAGACGAATCGAGGAGCATCAACAAGTGGTGCACCTGAGTTTTCAGGAGGCGTGTACCCCTGTTCCCAATTTCCATCTATTTTCTGTGTATCAGAATTCGAGAGTCATAGCTTTCATTTAATACGTTTTTCACAGTGACTGTCCAAACTGCAGTCTAGAAACACCTGTTTAACCAAGGTTGTGAGCCACTGGTTTAGAAGAGAACATTCGTAGCTCTTGCCTGAGGCAAGGCTAAGAATGCCGCCTTACCCACCCATCCAAATCAAGTTGCACAGAATCCAGAACCAGCCTAATTGTTTTGGTATACAAAGCAGAAAATCCCCACAAATACCTCCTCTGGTCCCCACAGGAAAAACAACACACAGTACTGTAGTAACAAAATAAACAAAGAACAATTTGTTACCATTTTATGACACCCCGGATCTCCTGCCTGACCCAGCTGCCTCCTCCTACCTCAGGGTAAGGCCGTTTGTTCAATACTGTATGTCTGGGACCTAACCTAAGACTGTTTTTACCTTATCCATGCAAAGCTTGCTCTCTAGCTCATGCTAGCATTTCTCCCTGTGGACCATTTAAAAAATAATAATAAAGATGCCAAAATAGAAGGTTTGGGCAACTCTGCATGAATTCTCTCATTCTCAGCCCCACCCCACCCTCCTTGTTTTTTAGTGTCCCCACATCTCTCTCCTGCTCACTTACAAACTCTCCCTCTTGCTCAGTATTCTCTTCTGCACTTGAAGCTGCCAACAAATCTCATTTACATTCAAATTGCCTGACACGCCAAGGCTGCGGCGTCCCTGTTGCAGGTGGGGACCTCTCTGCTCAGGAGTGTTTGGAATGGTTAATGATAGAGGCAAGGGATGAAACGAAAGATGGGTTTCACATCCTGTCTCTTTCTTCCTCTCTTTTTAGGCTAGAATACCAGGATGGCCAATCTGGAATACAACCCATCACGGTCGTTAGGACTACCTTTTGTAAAAATTGGTCTAAAATCCCCATTTAAACCTATTTTAGGGTCAAGGTAGAATGACACCCATGGCCGGCTTTATGCTTAGGCAACAGAATCCAAACAATGGACACTGACAGAAGGAGGTCACTGCAAGATTTTGGAAGGCAGCCGTGTGTATGTGCCCTAAAGTCTCACAAAAGCGTTGAGCTCAGAAATATCTTGCCTTACATGACAACTGTCACTTGACAAGGAATGTTTTCTTTAGTATTTAAAGTTACTTTTATAGTTACATTAATGTGGCCGAAATAAAGAAAGAGGAATACTGTAACAGGCTTGGAAAAACAAATCTTTTTTAAAGACTAAAGCTCTTAAGATTCTGGGGGCTGTACTTGAATGACATGGGGATTAGTCTCCTGTTTGGTCCACTCCCACTCTGGACCCGTTTGCTCCTTTTCCTGGCAACTACATGTCGTAAGTGCGAACACAAACCAGCTTGTTCCCTGAGTGTTCCTACCCTCACTCTTTTGAATCCCTGTCAGGGGCTGCTTCTTTTAAGGTGTTCGTTAGATCGCTCCATTTTGGTTCAGTGCCAGCATGTGTGATCACTGGGATCAAACCAAAGCAGATGGCTTTCTCCTTTTAATTTCTCATCTGCTTTCAATTTCCTAATATCATTAAGTGGCCTAAGCAGACAGCTTAATCACTTAATGATATTTGGAAATTAACAACTTCCCCTGATCCTTGGTGGAGGAGGAGAAGGGAGAAGCAAAGGCCTTGTTTTTTGTTTGTTTGTTTTAAAGGCCTATTAGAGCAGCACTGATAACACTGTACATTTGAAAGCTTCCTCCTGAAAATAAGAGGAGTCAGCAGGGGGCAAGGATGGTGTTTTTGTTTGTTTTCTTTCTTTTTCCTTTCACTTTAAAGGGACGTGAGCCAAATAGGGTTGCATGAGGTGCATATGTCATATTGATAAAAGGATCACTCCAAATGGCATACTGCATCTCTACGAAATCTTGTGATCCTATTTGGCCCAATCCAGACCTTTTCAGTTTAGCCATTTAGCCAAGCCTTAACATTTTCAAGCTCTGAATATCACATGATTGAAGTGTGGGCTTGTGCTGTGCCTCCAGCTCTCTTGCAGGCACTAAAGGGATGTCAAGGTGACCAGGATAAATGTGACTATTAGCACAAACTACAGCCTTGTCAAACTTTTAGAGCTGTTAAACTAACTAAATGTTAACTTTAATTACTTTTGAAAATTAGAAAAATAAGGCTTTACTTTAGAAGGTAATTATGAAGATAATTATGAAATTCCAAGGCCTTGGAACTTCAATTGTAATTGCATTTTCAAATTATCATTTAGAGGTCTGGGCCGGCATACTCTAATCAAATCAGGTGTCTCGGGTTCATTACCCAATAGCTAATATTAAAAATGTAGCTACCTAGTCACCAGAACACGGAATTGGAGTGGGAGCATCATCTTGTCCTTTGCTACAGAGGCATCAAAACATTTTGAGAGGTCTTGTTCATATTTATATTCCTCACACCCTTTCTTTGTCTTGGTAAATACAGCTTGAGGAGCTAAATGGAATCAGGGTCACATTACCTGGAAAGGGGAAAACACTTTCCTTCCTACCATTTGCTTAATTTGAATTCCCCTCCAGCTCTACTATTTGCAGACAGGAGGAGGAAGAGGAGGAGAAAGGCTAGTTATCATCAAAGTATGTGTGTGTTTTCCATTGAGGGGCAACTAGAAGCTTAGGAGTTGGACTTAAGTCATGGGCACAGAGCAATGAAAAGAGATGCAAAACTTTTTCCTCAGCACAGCAACCCTTGTTCAAATTCTTCTCTTCTGGACATCGCACCAGCTTTGGTCTAGAGAAGGGGCTGCCAACTTGTTTGCTTGTTTGTTTGCTTGATTAACCTTTATATCACCCGTCTGGCTACCAAAGCCACTCTGGACTGTTTGTTTGTTTGTTTGTTTGTTTTATTTTATTTTATTTTATTTTATTTTATTTATTTATTTAACTTATATGCTGCCCACACGACCCAAAGGTCTCTGGGCGGCTTACAACATTTAAAATACAATAAAAAGTCAAAACAATGAAAATGCAATTAAAATATATACAGTACTCTAAAAATTGCCATTGGACCCACAGCTGATATTATTTCAATTAAAAGCCTTCTGGAATAGGAAGGTTTTGACCTGGTGCCAAAATGTCATCAGCGTCGGCGCAAGACGAATCTCAGTCGGGAGGGCGTTCCATAGTCTGGGGGCAGCTGCCGAAAAGGCCCTTTGTCTACAAGCCCTCCCTCTTACCTCCTTGAGGGACGGCTCTTTCAAAAGGGCCCCCTGGCTAGATCTTAACTGCCGGGTAGGCTCATATGGAAGGAGGCGGTCCTTCAGGTATCCAGGGCCCAAGCCGTTTACAACATAGTATCATAAGAGATAAAAATTTAAAGACACTACATAACAGAACATTTTCGTACATAGTAGATGTAAAAAAAAAATCAAAATGAAACATCAGTACATGTACACAAAAGCAAAATAAAACGAACCGAAAGTAACTTAAAAATAATTTCAAAGTAATTTAAAAGAAAAGGTGGCAGAACACTGAAACAATCAGTGTGCTACTATGTTGTAAGTTCCAGGAAGGCCTGTCTGAAGAGCCATGTTTTTAAGGATCATTTGAAAATCCCCAGTGAAGGAGCCGGGCAAATGTCAGGCAGGAGATTATTCCAGAGATGGGGATCAATTGTCAAGAAGGCCCAGTTTCTGGTCTTCTCTTTCCAGGCTTCTCTTGGGCTCAGTGATCTCAATTGCTTGTGGGCTGGGCAGATCATATTGGAAGGAGGCCTTCTGCCAGGTATCGAGATCTCAAACCATTTAAGGCTTTGTATGCCAGCACCGTCACTAAATTCTAAAGCTAATGATGCATTGTGGGATAAATGTGCTTTCCTTTGCCAGTCCTGAAATCTGGTGCCAACTTTACGGGATGACCACAAATTGCAAAATGATCTTTCTTTTTCATTCCATTCCATTTAATTTCCATACTGCTCAACAGATCTCTTGGCAGTTCCCAAAACAGAGTTTAAAGCCATAATGTAAAAACCTGGGGGAGGGGGCGGGGGAAGACCCAAACCAAGATATTAAAAAACCCACAGCTCTAAAAAATAAAAGCCAAACCAAGAGCAGTGGAAAGAGCTGAAAACCACTAACACTTCAGCTGCCTTGCTCTGCCTAATGTGAGGGATGCCCTGACTGGAATCCAAAACACACTTTGTTAAAGGTAAGCTCCAGTGAAAACAAGTCAAATTTACAGTTGTGCAAATTAATTTAGGTTACGATGGAACAACCAGGGACTTCTAAGGAGGATTAAGCGGAGATTGAAGGAAATAATTCCTTTGATGAGACCTCAGAATACGTGCAGTGGAAGGGATTGGATTGTTTTGCCTCCCACAAAGGAGGGAAAATATCATTACTGTATTTATTTGCACACATCGATTCATTGCATGCACTGGTGAGGTAAATAAACGATCAACCTTCCCAAACCAGGGTTTCAAAATGGCCACAAAGCCAAAGGGACAAGCTGTTTGGGTTTTCTCCCCATCCCACCTTTCAAAATGGCCACAAAGCCAAAGGGACAGACAGAGCCAGATGCAAGCTCTTTGGGTTTTCTCCCCATCCCATTTGGTGACCCTCCTTTCCCTCCTTCCTCACCCGAAAGTGGAGGAGAATTTGGGTGTGATTAGACAGGAATTTAGCCCACTGCAGGGACAGATTGGTTCACTCCTTTTTCCAGCTACCACACAATGTAATCACTGGAGCAAACCAAATCAGACCCAGAGTGTTCCTATCTGCATCTTTCTGGGTCTCTGTAAGGAGCTATACTTTTTTTGGTGCAGGTAGGAGCATTTCCGAAAGTTTGAATAGTCGAAGCTATGGTTTTTCCTGTCGTGATGTATGGAAGTGAGAGCTGGACCATAAAGAAAGCAGACCGCCGAAGAATTGATGCCTTTGAATTGTGGTGCTGGAGGAGACTCTTCAGAATCCCCTGGACTGCAAGGAGAACAAACCTATCAATTCTAAAGGAAATCAACCCTGAGTGCTCACTGGAAGGACAGATCCTGAAGCTGAGGCTCCAGTACTTTGGCCATCTAATGAGAAAAAAAGACTCCCTGGAAAAGACCCTGATGTTGGGAAAGTGTGATGGCAAGAGGAGAAGGGGACGACCGAGGATGAGATGGATGGACAGTGTCATCGAAGTGACCAACATGAATTTGACCCAACTCCGGGAGGCAGTAGAAGATAGGAGGGCCTGGCGTGCTCTGGTCCATGGGGTCACGAAGAGTCGGACACGACTAAACGACTAAACGACGACGAGGAGCATTTCATTTTGGTTTGTTTCTAGTGCTCATGGTTGCTGAAAACAAAACCAAATCAAGTCTTTGGCTGTCAAGGCTCCTTCCTCTATCAGTTTACCATAAAAGGAAAAAATTTGTTTGAAATGTGGTATGCCAGTCTTCAAGCTGCCACAGAACTCTTGGTCATTTTGGATATATAGGTGTCATCCAGGTGTCAGATCGATATACTGTACATATATGACACCTATATCCTATCTGTGTGTGTGTGTGTGTGTGTGTGTGTGTGTGTGTGTGTGTGTGTGTGTGTGTGTTTTTGCAGGGAGGCTTTGGGCTGCCTTCTAAGGTAAGATGCTGTTTTCTGCTTTTTAAAAACTGTTCTGGGTTTTGAGCTGGGGGGTTATGTTTCTGTGCTGTGTTGGGTCTTGGGGGTTTGTTGGTGTTTTCCCCCCATTTCTGATGTGTCTTGGGGG